AGTGATAAGGAAGGGAACCAAGGGCACATTCTTCCCACCCCAGGCTTACAGAGATCCTCCTGCCTCTGCCTCCTGAGTTCCGATGTTAAAGATGTGTGCCCCTACTGACACATTTTAATCTCCATGAAAACCAGGGAAGACAGAATGGTGGCCCTGGCAGGCAGAGAAGGCTGTCCAAGGAATGGTGAGGGCTAGTTTTGCTTGTTTGATTTAAAAAAAAACTAATTAATTAATTTTGTGTTATGTGGGGAGTGACAGCACTTGAGTGGAGGTCAGAGGAAATGTGGGTGTCACTTCTGTCCTTCTACATGTGGGTTCTGGGGATCGAACTCAAGGCCTCAGGCTTGATTTTACCCTAAGAGCCATCTCATCAGCCCTAAGTCTTGTCGTTTTTTTAGATTGTTTACTTAAGATATTTAAATGACAGAAGGCTTTGAGGAGAGCTGACAACAGAACACTCAGCCTCCTTAATTTGCTATCCTGAAAGAAAGAAAGAGTGCTAGACTTAGACTTAGCCCAGGTGTTCCTGGGGCCCTGCAAGTCCCGACCACTAAACTAACTGGCCTGCCGTGTTCTCCCTCAGATGCTGGGATTTTGTAGCGTTGGCTTTAGAGCCCTGGTCTGGATCTAGCTACTCAGTCTTCCATTCTCCTGTCCAAATCCACACATGTTGGTTTCCGTTCCCAGGTTGGCAGCTTTGTCTGGCATGCCTCTCTGCTGTGCTCAGTATCTAGCTATAACTGGTTGTTGCTCTAATTACAGAAAACCCTCGATGCTCTGCTCGGTAAGCATGGGTACAGATCTCCTTGCTGTGTCTGGTTCTTACTATGACAAGCCCGTGTCCTTCTTCAGGGCCATTTTTCTTTCTGGGTCACTAGTGCTATGAGAACAGTCCCTACCCTGTTGCCTCCTAAAGTGTTTCTGTAGTTCCTCTGGCTCACAGACCCTCCCCTCTCCATTCTGTCACCTGTCCTCAGGTTAGAGGGGTTCTGTGGCTCCTGCCCCTGGCTCCAGAGGGGCCATAAATCCTGTGTGGCCAGAGGGGAAAGGATGCTGACAGCAAGAAAGACTGAAGCAGAAAACCTGGGAACTAAAACTATTAGCCCTCACTTCCATTGGCAAGTGCTAAGAGTCCCAAAGGCCAGTGGAAACTTCTGCCCCAAGTTCCGTAGGTGTGTTTGGTTCTTGTCTTCAGACTCTCTATTGTAGTACAGACTGGCCTCTAACTTACTGGGAAGCAGAGGTGACTTTGAAGATGAAGCCTCCTGCTTCCATCTCCCAAGTGCTGGGGTGGGTGATGTATGCTTCCATGCACAGTTTATACAGTGTCAGGGATCATACCGGGGGCTTCATATATGGGACACTAGCACCCTATCAACTGAGTAAAACACCAGCCTCCCCAACACCCCCATTTATGGTTTATGTAGGTCTGTGATGTCTGGAAGACTGGGTGGCCCTACGCTTTGACTATCCCTCTCCTCACCATTCTCTCTCCTTCCTTCCTTCTTTCCTTCCTTCCTTCCTTCCTTCCTTCCTTCCTTCCTTCCTTCCTTCCTTCTTTTTTCCCTTATAGCTATCTAGAATATCCATGAAAAATATCTCATGTTGCCCAGGCTGGCCCAGAATTCACTATGTAGCCCTGAACTCCTGCCTCACCTCCCCTGTTGAGAGCACAGGTGTGTGGCACCATACACAATAAGTGTGGCACCAAAGAGCTAACCCATGGCCTCACACATACTTGGAAAGCACGCTATCAGTTGAGTGATGCCACACAGTCTTTTTCTGTATCTTTTTCAGACATATTTTCATGTGACCCAGGCTGGCCTTGAACTTGCTATTCAGTCAAGGATGATCTTCACCTCCTGCTCCTCCTGTCCCCAGCTCCCAGGATGTGCCACCATGACCTTGTTGGTGAAGGTTTTCTGCAGACAACACACACACACACACACACACACACACTTTACTAGGACACAGATACTGTAAATGCTAAGTCTTCAGAGTAAGGAAAACAGTAGCGGTCTGTCCACCCAGCCAAGTGTGGAAGCCAGAATCCTCTCTGACTCCTCGCTGCAGTGAGAAAATAAACACCTTCTAGAACACACAAAACCTGCATTTAGTTCTCATCCTCCCCGGGCCAGTAAACTACCCATTTGGTAGATGGGTGTGGCTCACAGGAAGGTACAACTTCAGCGCCTCTGGAAAATATTAAGAGTCTGGGTGAGGATGGGTGCTAGACAGTTGATGGGCAACGCCCTCTGCCCTCCAGCACCTGTCTGCTTCTGTAACTTTAGTTACTAGGAACTAACAAGCATTAGTGATAGTGGTCCTAGGCAGGCCTGTAATAATTTCACAGGGAACTTTAAAATCTGTGCTAACAAATATTGCATTTATCAATTTTATTTATTTATTTATTTATTTATTTATTTTTACTTATCTAACACCAAATGTTTGTAATAGTCCATAGAATTTGCAGATGGTCTATAGCTAAACCACCCTCTGAAAAATTATACAATGAATTTAAAGAATAACAAAAGCACATTCATCAAAACATGCTCTGAATTGAGACGAGATTAAGCCACATGCAGGGACAGAATCTTTATTCTGAACAGTTCTGTTTACGGGCTAGGGTGTAGCTCACTTGGTAGAGTGCTTGCTTAGCATGCATGAGGCCCTGGGTTCTATCCTCAACCCTGGATAACCTCCTGTCTTTTAATTCTTTAGCTGGCAGAGAAAGAACCTGATCAAGACCCATTGACGGAACCAAGACTATGTCTCAAGAAGAAAAAAAGAAACTAAGGGCTGAGCATGGTGGTGAACATCTTCAAACCCAGCACTCTGGAGGCAGATGGATCCCTGTGACTTTGAGGTAAGCCTGGTCTACATAATGAGTTCCAGGATAGCCAGGGCTACACAGAGAAACGCCGTCCAGAAAATAAGAAAGAAAAGAAAAGGAACCAGGCAGGGAAATGGCTCAGTGTTGAAAGCGCTCATGGCATGAAGATTTGAGTTGGACCCCAGGACCCACATGGTGGAGGGAGAGAGCGCTGTGTGCTGTCCCATGACTTCCACCTACATCCCATGGCGTGTATGCACTGCATGTGTGCACATTAGTAATAACGAAAAAGTAGACAAAACAAAAATACAGTATAATGTGTGTGTATTTGTGTTACTGGAGACCAAACCCAGAGCTTCACATGTGTCAGACAAACACTTTATAAATAAACTCAACCTCCCAAGCTGGGAAGAGTATTTATAACATTAATTATGAATGTCTCATAAGAAAATCTATGGTATGTAAATGAACATCTTTCTTCCTCCTTCCCTCTGTCCTTCCCTCTCCCCCCCTCCCTTCCTCCTTCCTTCCTTCCTTCCTTCCTCCCTTCCTTCCTCCCTTCCTTCCTTTCTGTTTGTGTTTGTTTGAGGCAGGGTTGCTTTGAGTAGCCCAGGCTGTTCTGTAACTTGCTCTGTATATAGACCAGGCTGACCTCAAACTCAAAGATCCACCTAGCTCGGCTTCCCAAATGCTGAGACTAAAGGTATGTGACACCATGCTTGACTGTAAATGACCAGTTCTGATTAGACATTAAAATTTCAATTAGAAAACCTGGCAAATCACTTCCGCTGACAATTAACATGAGGAAAGTTTAATGCTTGACTGGCACATCGTCAAGACCGCACTACCATTCATGAAATGAACATTTTGACTGAATTCACAGGCGGCAATCCTGAAGGCTGCTGGGAATGTGGAACATGAGCTACCAGAAACTTCTGGTGGGAGAGCGCGAGGACTGATGTTGATCCAGCTTCACAGGATCCATAATCACAGAAAAGACAACCCTCCGGCCTAAGTCTCCATCTTTGGTCAGAGATTTGGTCACAGTAATGAGAAAAATAAACACCAGAGGGTCAACTTAGCAGACTGGTCTACAAAACACCCGAGGGGCAACCTCTGAAGCTTCACAAGCATGTTGTATGGCAGAGTCCTGCTCATAGGAGCCAGTGACCAGACACAGCCTGAGAACCCAGTGGCACAGATGACAGCTCATGGGCACAGTTCCTGACAGCCACAAATTGAAAACAAGCCAAACATCGCCTCTGGCAGCCTGATACACAGGGCTGTGTCAGACTGTGGATTGTCATTAACAGCGGAGACATACAACAAACCAAAACTTTAAGCATTGTGGGTGGATCACAGGGTCCAAAAGATGTTCTAGTAACCGTCATAATCCTCTCATGAGCTACAGGACATTTGAGGACAAACTGTCCTAAGTACAATGCTGTAGCGGGGCTGGGGAAATGTCTCAGTGGTTAAAGTGCTTCCTGTACAAGTGTGAGGAACAGAGTTTGGAGCCCCCGGAATGCCCGTGAATGCTGGGTAGGCATGGGGGTCTGTTTGTAATTTAATTGACAGTTCAGAAGGCAGAGATAGAACAAGACTATCTAGCAAGACTGTCTCTGCTTATATTGGCAAACTCTGGGTTAACAGATATACATGCAGGCAAAGCACCCATAACACATGAAATAAAATAACACAAAGTATTTAAAAAGTAACTTAGACCCAGGCAGTGGTGGTCCCAGCACTTGTGAGGCAGAGGCAGAGGTAGGCAGATCTCTTGAGTTTGAGGCCAGCCTGGTCTACAGAATGAGTTCCAAGTCAGCCAGGGCCTCACAGAGAAACCCTGTCTCGAAAAACAACAAAAGAAACATCATCATCATCGTCATCATCATCATCATTATCATCATAAACAATGAAAAAGAAAGAAAAGAAAAAAAAAACATTTTAACTTAAGATCAAGTCTCTCCTTAGAGGAGGGGGTGGGGTGGGCTTGTTAACCCTTCACCTCCAGCAGGCAGATAAAGAGGGCAGTTGATCACATTTGCAATGCCCCGGCACATGTCCTCCCAGGTGTAGAGGCTTTAGGTGCCTGGGGGTGGAAAGAAGCAGAATGGCGGCTGTCTGCCAGCCCTGTGTGGGCTGCATGTAGGGAAGTAGCGCTTACCTTTGCCACAGGCTTGCACCAGTCCATACCACTCCCCACAGCTGTTGCATAGCAAGGTGAACGCCGTTTCCCGATGGCCTGTGATGGACCCTGGCGCACACACATACAGCAGCTCGTCCCCCATCTCCAAGCCAGTGCGACCCTGGAGGATGGTGTGTGGGAATGATGGTGGGTCTCCACACGGTCTCTCTGAGGAGAAGCAGCAACAGTCACAGTCTCCTAAGTGTGATGGTTAATCTCGCTTGTCAGCCTGACAGAACTGGAATCGCTACAGAAATGCATCTCTGCGCATGTCTATACGGGATATCTACGGGGTTTCCTATACTGGGTTAACTGAGGTTGGAGGGCCTTAATGTAAGGGCACATTTCACGAGCTCTGGTCCAGGACTGGATACAAAGGAGAGTTTAGCGGGGCACGGTGGTGCACACCTTTAATCCCAGCACTTGGGAGGAAGAGGCACGAAGATCTCTGAGAATCTGAGGCAAGTCTGGTCTACAGAGTGAGTTCCAAGATAGGAGTACAGAGAAAGAAAAAGACAGAGACAAAGACAGAGAGAGACAGAAAAGAGAGAGACACAGAGACCGTCACAGAGACACAGAGACAGAGAGATAGGCAGAGACACAGAGAGATAGAGACACACAGACACACAGAGAGATAGACAGAGACACAGAGAGATAGACAGAGACACACAGAGAGGTAGACAGAGACCAAGACCGAGAGACACAGGCAGAGGGGGAGCTGACTGGGGATGCAGGAGCCTCCAGCCTTCTTCACCATGTATGGGACTGCACCCTCAGGCTGTGAGCCGAAAGAAAGGCACCCTTCATCAAGCCGTTGCTGTCAGTATTCCACCCCAGAATCAGGTCGAGTAGCACATACACAAGTGATACAGACATTCCCAGTCTATGAGAAAAAACTGCAGAGTGAACCCACCTGCCCCTACACTTTGTCCCTTGAATACCACCTATACCCAAACCAGGATCCCAGGGACAAGCTCCACTAACTCACAGCCTGGCAGAATGCCTGACACAGAGGAGGCACAAAAAAAAAAAAAAAAAAAAAAAGGCTTGTTGAGTGACTCATTGTGGTACCAAGTAACAGTTTGTATTTTAAAATTGCCAGACACCAAGACCCCTCTGAGGTCTCCTTCATGACTCAGAGGTACAAGCTCACAGCAGGTCCTTTTGCCATGTTTGGATGAAGGAGTCAGGGTGTCGTCAAGAGACCTACCTACATGCAGAGGTATTCTACATGTACGTTCACATAAATACATGTATAGCATCTGTCTGATAGCTAATGGTAACATGGCTACCAGTGCAATCATACATGTGAAATACATACGAATGGAAATATTCATTCTGTACATATATAAATGCACATATACAAAGTTCCATATATACAAGAGTTGACAGGATAAAGAAATGGCACATATGCAGAATGAAATTTTAATTTGTTTATTTTTTATGTGTGTCTGTGGTGTACATGCATGTTTGCATGCACATGTGTGCATTTAGGATGTCCTCCCCTCTCTCCCATCTTACTCACTGAGGCAGGGGCTCTCAGTCAGATCCATTGCTCTCCCATCTGGCTATCTCACTAGCTAGCTTGCTCTGGCGATTCCCTGTCTCTTCCTTCTGAGGCTGGGAGTGAAGGCAGACCACCACATCCACGGGGTGTGTGTGTGGGGGAGAACCACATCCACCCGGCATTTATGTGGATCCTAGGGACCTGAACTCTGGTCCTCATGCTTATTGGCAAGCAGCCAAGGCATTTCCCACAAAGGAAACTTTATGTAGCCATAGAGGGAAGAGAGCCCATGATATTTACAGGATGGTGGGCACAGCCGGAAGTCATCATTTTAAGCAAAAGAAGCCAGATCCAGACAAACAAATTCCACTGGTTTTGAGTCATATGTGGGGCTGAGATTCACAATGACATAAGATGCACATAAAACATTTGCTTCTTTTTTTTTTATTTTATTTTCGAGACAGGGTTTCTCTGTGTAGCCCTGGCTGTCCTGGAACTCACTCTGTAGACCAGGCTGGCCTCGAACTCAGAAATCCGCCTGCCTCTGCCTCCCAAGTGCTGGGATTAAAGGCGTGCGCCACCACTGCCCAGCCATTTGCTTATTTCTTAAAAGATTGAAATTACATTTATTTGTTTTGTGTGTCTGTACATGTGCATGTGTGTGGGCACACGTGTGCACGCACGTGGGGCACCTACCATGGAGCATGAGTGGAAGCCAGAGGACTTTGGGGCAGTCTATTTTCTCCTTCTGCCCCGTGGATCTCAGGGATCAAACTCAGGTTGTTAGGCAAGGGCTTGGTGGCGAGCTCCTTTATCTGAGCCCTCTCACTGGCCCAACATCTGTATATTTTAAGCCCAAATGGGATTCAATTGTGCCTATTACTGAGAACTCTGCTTTGTTTTTTAGTTAACTCTATATTTGTAAAAAGGTATTTTAGATTTGCACAAAATTGAGAGGCAAGCACACTGAATTCCTGTATCCGTACTTCCCTCCTCCCTTAGGTTGTAGCCTTCCTCAGCAATGCCCCATATAGTTACACTCCTTACACAGAAACATCACCCACCATAGTCCACTATGTCCCTCACAGTTAGCTCTTGTACATCCTGTGAGTTTGGACAAGTGTTACAAGACATGTGTCCTCTGTCACAGCATTCTAAAGAGCACTTTCTGGCCTAAAAAGCCACTATGGTATACTTTCTTCCTCCCCAACACAGGCAACCACTGGATCATGTGACTGGAGTACCAACATGTCATGTGACTGGAGTACAAATATGGGGCCTGGGAGGTAACTCAGTAGATACATAAGAACCCGAGTTCAATCCTTACAAACTCACTCACAAAAGCTGGGTGGGGTGGTTCATTCTTGCAATCCCAGCTCTGGGGAGGCAGAGACAGATAGACACCCAAGGATGGGGGTGGGGCTCTCTGGCCAGCAAGCCAGCTTAGCCTACTTGGTGAGTTCCAGAAAAAAAGAGAGAGAGAAAGAGAGAGACAGAGTCCCTGCATCAAAAACAATGTCAACAACACCTGAGGTTGCCTCTTGGTCTTCCTGCACACACAAGAGTGTACATGTAAACTCACCCCACACAAAACGATATCAATTTAATAAGATTGTTAAACTGTCTTTCAATATAGAAGAGACATTTTTCATTCCTAACAGGAATGTTGTAGTTCATACTCTTGCAAGGACTTGAAGGTGCCAGAGTTTTGGATTTTGGCTGTTTTGAAAGAAATGAAGTTGTGACGGTCATTTAAAAAAAGGTTTCTTTCTTTATTATATGTAAGTACACGGTAGCTGTCTTCAGATACCCCCTAAGAGGGCATCAGATCTCATTACAGATGGTTATGAGCCACCATGTGGTTGCTGGGAATTGAACTCAGGACCTCCAGAAGAGCAGTCAGTGCTCTTAAGCACTGAACCATCTCACCAGCCTGTGATGGTCATTTTTAATTGTCAACTTGACACACATAGACTCATCTGGGAAGAGAGTCTCACTGAGGGACTGCCTACATTGGGTTGGCCTGTGGACATATCTGTAGGGAATGTCTTAATTAAGTTCATTGGTATGGGAAGACCCAGCCCCCTGTGGGTGGTGTCATTCCCTAGGCAGTGGCTTCTGAAGTGTATCAGAAAGTAAGATGTTCACAGAAGAGCAAGCGAGCAGGTAGGTTGTATGCATTCACTCTCTCTCTGTTCCTGAGTATGGATGAGGTGTCACTAGCTGTTCGAAGTTCCTGTGCCCATAGACTGTAATCTGAAACTGTGAGCTAAAATAACCCCTTTCTCCCTCCCTGATTTGCTTTACATTGGGGTATGTATCACAGCAATGGAACAGAAGATAGACCAATGATAGTACGTGTTCTCATGTGTAAGTCCCTAAGGACACCCGGCATTGGACAGCTCTTTATATACTTGCTTGCTGCATGTCTATTTTTTTTTTTTTAAAGACAGGGTTTCTCTGTGTAGCCCTGGCTGTCCTGGAACTCACTCTGTAGACCAGGCTGGCCTCGAACTCAGAAATCCACCTGTCTCTGCCTCCCAAGTGCTGGGATCTTTTGTCTATTTTTAAGACAGGTTGTTTTTTTAATTACTGCTGAGCTTTGAGAGTTCTTTGTCTGCTTCACGTAGCAATCCTCGTTTCCCGCAGACCTATTTGTTTTCTCATTCATCAGTGCTGATTTTTTCAGGACAGAATGTAATCTAACAAGCCCTACTTAATTGGATCTTTCACAGACTGTCTCTTTGGTGCCACGGCTAGAAGCTCACCATCATATCCAGGAACATCTAGGCTTTCTCCTATGCTGTCTTCTGGAGTTTGTGTCTTTGTGCTTTATATTTAGGTAGTGCTATTTACGAAGGCCTGAGATCCATGTTGAGCTCATGTTTCTGAGGAGCCTAAGGAAAGCTTCTGGATGTCCAGCTTTGCTGGTATCTAAGTTGAAGAACTGTCTTTATTCCATTGTGCCAAAGATCAGTATGCTGAAGGTGTGTGAATCTAGCTCCCAGGTCTCTGTTCTGTCCCACTGATGAATCTTATTGGTCCAAAAGCCACAATCTTTCTTGCCTATTGTAAATTACAGTCCTGCAATCCAGCCACAGCAGACCTCTGACTTCGTTGTTTAATATTGAGTTGGCTGCTCTGAGTCCTTTAGTTATATTGTCTTAGCAATGGATTGTACCTATAAAACAACACTGGTTATTTTGATTACGGTATTGTGCCCAAAGAAATCAACTTGGGAAGACCCAATGGGTTGACAATATCAAGTCTTATTGTTTATCTGGAACATTTTTCTTTTTATTTCCTCAGCGTCTTGTAGTTGGCCTCATGCTAAACGTTACTTTTAGATTTATATTTAAGTATTTCATTTTGGGGGTTGCTACTGTAAACACTATGTTTTCAATCTCAAGGCCCACTGTCCATTGCTGTTATATAGCAAAGTATAATGCTACCTTTTGTTAACTCTGTGTTCTAGTTTCGTTTCTATTGCTGTGATAAAATATCGTGACAAAAAGCAATTTAGAGAACAAAGGTTAGTTCAGCTTACAGTTCCAGGTTATAGTCTGCCACTGAGGGGAAATGAAGGTGGGAACTTGAAGAGCTTGATCACACCACATCCATAATCAAGACAGAAGATTAAAATGAATGCTACTCACTAGCT